TTGGCTTTCGAAAAATCAAAGCGAATATTTGGTTCGTATGTTTGGATACCACGATTTTGACCATCGTTTATAATTTCGTAAGATATCTCAATAGCAGGGTGGTAGACATCTTCGGGCAAAACTAGTGGGTCACATTTATTTACAGCGGACTTAGATGCATCATCAACATAAACAAGATCTAATACTTTGCCAAACTTATTGCGAAGTAAATTAACTTGATTTAGGCAGAGTTCAGCCATCTCCTCAAAAAATACGTTGTTGCACGCACTAGACGAGAAAGGTACGACATCATTGTCAATGATGTTCCATGATACATTTGGTAGATTAAAGTCACCCAACACAATCATTGAATCAGAGGGTTTAATCATTGAATTAATTGATTTCAGTAAAGAAACATGTTGTGAATACACGGAAGAATCAGATCGGGGAGAAATATAGCATAGAGATAAGTAAGTAAACCCCCTTCCAACCTGTGTACGAAAGCATTTGAATTCTGCGGATTCAATGTGTGAAAGATTAACCTCTTCAGATGGAATTGAAGAGTCTACGGCAAAAAGTACGCCCCGCCGATTCTATGATTATTTTAATTTTTAAAATCAATATTAATATTGTTACTGATCGCATCTTTTTTAATAAAGTTACTCAAAATTAAGAGATAATGTGCTTTGATAGTTGCATATAAGTATGGCAAACGAGAGCTTAGATCTTAGAACTCTTTGTTAAGATTGTTAATTGTGAGCAAAATATACGATAGAAATAAAATATAGCATTTGGTTTTGCAACACATTCCTTCTGCCAGATCTGCAGACCTTCGTAAAAGCAGGAAATAAAATAAAGTTTCAAACTATCCCACTGCTCACTATTCTTAGCACAACGCTTCCTAGCGAAAGCCATCGTGTTTGAGATTTTCCCAAGATTTTGTGGGGTTTTACCGAACAGTAGTTCAGTTCATGTATCCTCTTTGGACTATGGGAAAAGAAACTATATATGTTGCGGCACAGTGTCTCAATGCTTTTCGGCAATTTTTTACAAGCGTAGCTTGAGCAAAGATGTAGTGAGTGGCATGTGTACTTTATATAAAATAAATCGGTTTCTGCACTCAATAATGTTTTCAGCCCGCCCAAGCCTCCAGCCATAACATTGGCTCCATCAGTGGCAGAACCAATTAGGTTTCTCATTTTTAAAGGCAGGATTGGCAAACGCTTAGAAGGTACAATTGGCAAATATTTATATGCAAAACGATGTTTAAAAGATATATTTTTATAATTGAGAATTTTGTTTACACGGGGGCGATTGGGGATCACGCTCCGGTGTAAATATAGCAGAAAGAAATAAAAAAAAAAACAAAGATATTTCGATTTTAGTGATTAATGCTATACAGGGTCAATTTATTTCAATATGTGCATATATAAGTTGGGGTAACAAAATATTTAAATATCTTTGGACGGGAGTGGCCTGGTAGCTGCTGCGCTCGCGTTGATCTTCTAAACCGAAGTGAAGTAAAAGGTTTACGGGACCTTAACTCGGACCGCCGGACAGTAACTGACGTTAAGGGGAAACTTATCGTAAGTTCATTATCTGGCGGTCAACCGCGCGTATTAATACATGTACGTATGTATGTGTTTGTGTATACACATAGCCATATGCTTATACAAACTTAAGCACGTACATATGCTGGCATTAGGGCTGTTCGAAAACAAGTCAAATTTAGGCTGAAAGCCTAAACATACCGGCCGCCTTGCGTTACGCAGCATCTGGAAAATACCTTGCTACGATGCAGCTACCAAGCTCACCGGAGTTAGCTTACAATTACATTCATTTTAGTTTTCTCAAAATTGTAAAAAAATATGGCTTCGGTGACCAGCGCGTTGATGTCCGTTCTTCTTCCTACTGCTGGGAGAGGAAAGAGAGAAAAAAAGGTACAAATGTGGTCATATTTCAATGCACTTTATTGAGAAATAAAGGGTAAAAATAAATATGTCTAAAACATTAATTGTAAAATATATACATTCAGAATAAATATTAATGCGTTATTAATATTTTAGTTAGGCGCGGTAGGCGCCCGAATGTATTGTTTGCCTGGTTTCCGCTCCGCGATGTCGTCTCGCTTGATGGCGTGGTCGGAAAGGCCTGCTTTCCCATCCCGCCATCCTTAGATGTTCGTGTCGTAATAAAGGTCGGAAAGTCAGAGTTTTCGATCCCCTGTCAACGTTTGGGCGGAGAGGCCGAGTCTCGGCTCCAAATTCAATATTTTTTGCCATCCGCTCATATTGGATACCATTTAGGTCGCTCCCCTATCAATGTTCGGGCGGAGAGGCCGAGTCTCCGCTCCAAACCCAATATTTTTGCGATCCGTTCATATTGGAGACCATTTATTTAACTATTGTTGGGTGGCGAGTAATTGAGGCGGTAATTCTTTAAGTATTTGGCATAGTAATTTTCTTTATTAGATAAATAAGTTTCGGCCAGTGTGAACGTCGCATTATTTTCAATTATTTGTCTTCACAAACTAAGACGTGTAAATACGGCTTAATGTCGGTTTGCGACCCACAAAAATGAAGGGTGGATCGCACAAGTGCCATACATTCCATTATGCATGAATGCATTGGCAAAGTTAAATTTTTATCACATCGAAAAATGTAAATTGCATTTATTATGTTTGGAAGTGCCAATATTAAGTGCTGTTATGAAAACGATCATTTCCATTAATGAGTTGATCTACTAATATTCGTAATTAGCAGTTCAAGTTCATTGCATGAAGTTGTCGAAAACGTATTAATCTACACTTGGAGAGTTTTTAGCCATTCTCGCAACCCAACAACTAGCCTGTCGCCCAAAAAAAAAAATTTGGATGCCACTGTAGGTGATACTCGGCTATAAACAGGGTAGCTCATATGCTGCAGAATTCATAAGTTGAATTTCAGATTTTATTACAAAATGTCTTATTCCCTTTTGAATTTTACGTAAAAATATGTGAAATAACTACAAAAAGTTAGTGCGTTGATATTTCCTCATGACAATGCCTCTTTAAGTGCGTAAAATGTATTTATGTTAGCAAAGCTAACGATTAAGGGCCGGTTACTCAATGTCTGGTTAACACTAATCTCCGGTTAAACATAGTTATCGACGTTACCGACTCCCTGTTGTATTCATGGAGTCGAAGACGTCGATAACGATGTTTAACCGCAGATTAGTGTTAACCAGACATTGAGTAACCGGGTCTAAGAATGATTGATCGAATGGTGCGATGGTATGCATCAACATATGTTTTTTTTCATTTATGGAAAATCTACCCTATAATAAAGTTTTAATTCATGTCAATATTTAGGTATGGATGACGATGATCTTAATGAAAATTACTGTTTAAGTTAACGGTTATTACTTTGATCATTATGTGAAATAATCCAATTTTGTGATATTGCGAATGTGAAAAAGATGACACCCGGCTACTACGAAAATTTGTTTTTACCCAATTGTTAGAGTGGTGCGTACTAAATAATTTGAGTAGTCTGAGCCCTGTTTCACACATATGCCAATGAAGAAAATTCATTCTTTTCATTGGAAGAATGGGATGGAAAGTACATTCATATACGAGGGAGATACGCAATCGCAGGTAAGAAGGTTGTAGAGGTTGTAAAAATTAATAAATTTAATTTGTAATTAACACTAATATTTTTTTTCTTTTCAGACTCCGAATTAAGCAGTGCACGGCAGTCCGCGCGATTGACTTAATATATGGATTTCTTGAAATATTCAAGTTATAGCCGATATTCTTTAAATTGATGGTCGCTTTTTGGAAGGCGGTGGCCAAATCCTACGTAATGCACTCAATTTGAGCTGTGTCCTTTGTCAGCCAATAAGAGCCTTGAATATACGGGCAAATCGGCTCAACCCGGGACTTTTAAATCAATATTTTTTTTTGATTGTAACCGCACCTTTTTGGTAACCGCATGAACTTAACTGAAATGGGGTTTCAGCCTGGTTATATCAAATCGGGCGAAACACGGTAGACACTCGGACGGCTGCAAGCGTGGCACTCTTACTGCAAGCTGCGTCACCTGTGCTGATGTTTGGTCGCGGCACTACCGAATTGGAGAATGTAGTAGGTACAAACGTAGGCATAGCGCTCCAGGTTGATACTATGACTGGAGTATTATGTCCTGATTCAGCGTGGATACTACCCACGCGGTGGCGGACGATGTGAAATTTTAATACCTTCTGAGCGTAATATAAAGGCAGTTACCTTAACACACTTTGGAACAATAAGCGAAGTGTGTGGTTGGTGCTTTGTCGTGGGTAAATTACCAATGGGTAATGAAAAGAGGCCGCAGAAAAGGAGTTGAAAATAATTTTTTTAATAAAAAATCGCGCGATTTTTTATTACAAATTTTCGCCTGCGGCGCTTTTTCCATAAAAATCAATACTTCGATAAATAACTGTAAACCATAAAAGTAGGGCTGCCATGGTATAGCGAAATTTGAACATAGTTTAAGTATATACAGTTATAAACCTTTGTGAGTACTCCTCGGTAGGAATGTTCGATATCGTATCGAAGCTCGAAAATAAACGATCTGCTTCTTTTACCTTCAGGGATTTTACAATTTCGTCGATTGCAGTGTCGAACTTGTCATCCACATCAGATTTGTGAAGTACGGGAACAGGCTAAGTATATACAGTTATAAACCTTTGTGAGTAGTCCTCGGTAGGAATGTTCGATATCGTATCGAACCTCGAAAATAAACTATCTGCTTCTTTTACCTTTAGGGATGTTACAATTTCGTCGATTGCAGGGTCGAACTTGTCATCCACATAAGATTTGTGAGCTGCACGCCGCACAGTTTTTCGACTATATGGAGGCAGATGGAAATAATAGTACACCTGCACCGATTTCACTGAAACTTGACATGCGCTCTAGTTTTACTTAGAAATAGAGAATTATGAAATTTTATAAAGATGGAATAATTGCCACGCCCTCTACTCTTGTGGGCGGAAACATTAAAGTCCCTATTACGGTTTACAACTCAACTCAGTTGAATTGAAATTGAAACAACTCAACTTTAAAACAACTTAACTCTTTTTTGGCATTACGAATTACAACTCACTTCAGTTGAAGTTGTATTGATGTTGCCAACCTAAAAAAGTGACGATTTGACAGATAATTAAACAGCTGATGATTTTGTGGCGAAAAATTAAAACAATATACTTTACTTAAGGTGTACGAGAGAGTGTTTTTTTTTTCAAATAAAAAGTAAAATGGACATAAGCGTTGATTTATTTTACAACAATGAAAATTTTGGTCCCAAAACTGATGTGCTGCGCATACGGAAAAGGCTTCGTGATCACTCGAATCCTTTGGAACTTCCAAGCACCAAGTAAGAAAAATTGTAGCGACAATTGAATGGCATTTTAATAATTTTTTTTTGCAGATTCATAAGCTACTTTCGTTTAAATAAGGAAGCATTTGTCTTTTTGCTAAACGAGATGGATGAACATTTCCAGAAACGTGTGCGAGGAACGGCTGTACCTCCCATATTGAAATTATGTGCAACTCTCAGGTTCCTTGCTGACGGCAGTTATCAAAAGTGCAGTGGAAATGATTTTAATGTTGGACTGGCGCAACCTACAATATCTGTAGTTATTAAGGAGGTTTTAAATATAATTGAGCAGCATATTTGTGGAAAATGGATTACAACCCAAATGACTGAAGAGGAGCAAAACACGTCAAAAATTGCATTCTATTCAAAAAGCGGATTCCCCGGAGTAGTGGGTTGTATCGATGGGACTCACGTTCGCATCATTTCACCAAAAAAAGAAATGCAACATCTTTATCTAAACAGGAAAGCCTACTACAGTTTAAACGTCATGATTGTAAGTGAAAATGTAAAAAGCAAATAATACTTCAAAAGAAAATGGTCATGACATCTATTTCGATTTCAAGCTTTGCGATTACAAAATGGCTATCCGGTATGTGGATGCTAGGCACGCGGGCGCAAATCACGATTCCTTTGTTTTTAACGTAAGCGATTTGAAAGAGCATCTGCAGAGAAACATACAGAGTAATTCCTGGATTTTAGGTAAGACTGGTCATTAGTATTTAATACAAAAATAGATTGTTTAAAATATTCCTTAAAGGCGACGCTGGTTACCCTCTACAAACTTTTTTAATGTCTCCTTTCCGCATGGCAGAAGCTGGTTCACCACAAGCTCGCTACAATACAATACACTCTAAGGCTCGAAATATTGTAGAACGGACGATTGGAATATTGAAAAGCCGATTTCGTTGTCTTTTATCTGTGCGTGGCTTACATTATTCACCAGCAAAATCTACACAAATTGTGAACGCTTGCTGCGCTTTGCATAATATTTGTCAACACTTTCGCGTGGAACTTTCTGAAGAAATTGCAACCGCTTCAAGTACGGAAATAAGCAATGAAAACCTGAACATTGAAACAGAAGACGAGGATGCCGCCAGAAGAATTCGCAATAATATTTTGTTATCCATTTAATAGAAATAAAAAACTCTAACTCCCATTTAATTATTTGTACTTCATTCAGTCTTCTTTTATTTTCAATGGTTAAATAACTTATACTTAATATTCATTAAATATCACTTCATGTGCTCTTAAAATTAGGTTTTTCAAAATAGTTAATT